CTAGTGTCTTAGTTTATTGATTTATTCCATCTTATTAGTAGTATTTTAGAACACCATTTTCCATTGATATCGAACTAGCTTAGGTTTAAGATTGATTTGCAATTACTCTCGTTCCTCGTGGACCGAACCTTTATTTGCCATTGTACTTGGTTATAGGGTGTTCGTATAAGTATTGTTTGATTGAGAGTTAGATTGTAGCGACCGATTTAACCCTCGTCAAAATGGCGCCGTTGCCGGGGACAATGTTTGATTCTAGCTTGGGGGGGGGCTTACTTGTATTCATTCTAAAAAAAAAAAATATTTACTGCTTTCCTAAACTAACCTTAAGTTGTTTGCTAGTATGTCTTTACTTTTTGCAGATTGGGAACATTCGAGACGCGGCATGAGTTTGAAGAACGATGCTATTGCCGTTAATTGGAGCTCCCGGGAAGCAAATTTGGTGAGATCTTTTCCTTTTTTTTGTGTGCTTAGGATAGTTTAGTTTAGGAAGAAGTTGAATGGTTCGAGGATGTTTGATCGGTTCTAAGGAACCTGGGATCGTTGATGTTGATATCATTCGATCACTTGTTTGTCGATTGGGATTTTATGTGATTTTTATGCCTCGTTATGTGCCTTTCAACTTATTCAGTTGGCTTAGTTGTACATATGTTTGTGTTAGATAGGAAAAGCTTCTGCTATGAGGATGTGTGGTTTAGCTTATATGATATGCCTCGTAGTCTTTTCCTATGTTTTTGGAACATAATAAACTTGTCTAATTGCAAAATTTTGGAATATTGTTCATGTTGGATTCGAAATGTGAATGAATGTGTATGGAATGTCTATTTCCACTTAAGCCAGTGATGAATACACAGTTTGAGTCTATTGTTGATCAATGTGGACGAGTCTAGGCGAAGGGTAGAAATAGAACACTTTTGTCATGTGAAACTCTATGCCTTTGGGCTGTGGTAAGATGGAGTCGCTTCCCGGTTGTGGATTTGACCCCCTTGATTGGTAGTTGCTTTATTTGTTAGATCCCGTCAGGTTTATTTGTTCTAGCCTTCATCATTCTTGTTGAGTGGAATATTTGGATCCTTGATTACGCATTTTTCGATCTTTGTGTTGACTAGTAGCTCCCGAGACCGACTTGACACTTTTAAGGGAGGAAGAGGGCACCTTTTTCATTTTTCTTATTTTGTTCCTTTTGTTTTGTTACAAATTGATTTTCTTTTTACATCATCTTACTTGCTAACCATGTTGAGCTTTAATTCCATTCTTGGTTAACCGTGTTACAAACCCGATGGCTAATGTTTTACCAACCCTTAATTGTGAAGCGTTTACCTAGATAGGTTTGTTGAGCTTATTGTTTACTAATCAAGAAATAAAGTTTGATAGTTGGTTTGAGCAGGTGTGAAAGTGAGCCTAATTGTAAATATGTAATGTGAAAGTCATTTTGCCATCAATAAAAAAAGGAAGAAAAGAAAAAAAAAAGAATTTAAAAAGAAAAAAAGAAGAAGAGAAAAGCCGTCCGAATTGTGAAAAAGGCAAGGACACATAAATAAAGTTTTGAAGTTTGAAAAAGGTGATTTGAGTGTGTATAACATAGAGAGTTTGGGATGTGTAAAAGTGTGATCAATGTTTATTGTGGAATGTGAATTGCATCTTTTGAACTATTGTTTTTGAGAATTGTGATTCTTTCGCTTCATTTAGGAATTAACCCCATTTTTTAAATTGTTTTCACTTACCTTACCCATTGCCAATACATTACAACCCTTTAAGACCCTTAGACTTTAGAGGTGTTCGGTTCTCAAACGGTGGAGGGAGATACCTTTCAACCCTATGGAAAGATTATGCGTAATCGAGATATCGGGTTACCTTTGTTATTTCCTAAAAATATCACTTTTTCCGGTTCCTTTGAGGAATCACGAGGGGCCAATTAGGGTGGTGATTTGAAGCAAAAGGGGAGGACGTGGCCGGTTTGGTTGGGTTTAGAGGGAAGCATGAATTCTTTGTTCTCTATGCTTGGTTTAGGTTTTGTTTGCATTTTGATCAACGATACCTTGGATTGTGTGTCTCGTTGCTTGTTTGAGTGAGTTTTCCTTCCGTGCATGGTTGTTCTAAGTAGGATCCATTGATTTCATTCCGTGCTTAATTTGATTTGTTCGCAATGGCATAGTTTATTTGATCTTGTGTGTGTTTCCCTTGGTTTTTGCTCGAGGACTAGCAAAAGTGTAGCTTGGGGGGTTTTGACAAGCGCACTTTAGGGCGCGCTTTAGAGCATATTTTAGGATGATTTTGGATGTATTTGGGGCCGCTTTGGCCGATTATTACCTTGTTATGCTTACGTTCCCTATATTACGTGCTTCACGGGTTTTCGGTTTGTTTTTTATGTGTTTTCAGGTAATATCAACCGAGTTTAATCGGATCCCGAGCCCTTGATGCGTAACCGAGCTAGCCTTGACCGGAGTCCGAGGAGTTAAGGAAGTTCAAGTGCCGTGCATTGATTACATAGCACAGGCAGCACGACCGTGTTACCATAGGCACACCCGTGCTGCCTATAAGCAAGCAACCCCAGGCAAGGCAGCACGGCCGTGCAAGCCAATAGCACGGCCGTGTCAGTATCCACTTACCCGCACGGCCGTGCAGGCCATTAGCACGACCGTGCCAGATGTTCCCGTGCCCGTGTGAGCTTCAGTATGAGCCCCGTGCTAGAGCATATTCAGCACGGCCGTGTCATTTTTAGCACGACCGTGCTAGGAAGCTGCACGGCCGTGCCATATATCGCACGGCCGTGCCAATTTGAAGAAGAAATCCGGTTTACTTACTGACAAGCTAGCACGGCCGTGCCAAATACAGCACGGTCGTGCTGATCCAGGGTTAACTGCGCGCTTGACTTCTCCGCATTAGAAGACGTATATAAGGCCCAACTTTAAGAGGATTCCTCAGACAGTTTTTAGAGAGAGTTTTGAGAGCCTTTGTAGAGAGTTATTGGAGAACTTTCTTAGTATTAGAGATTCATTAGTTTTCTTAGAGATATTTCTAGAGATTTTAGTTTTCTTGGATTGATTTGAAGCAAGATTTGCGAAGATTCTTTGTATTATTCATTGACGACGGATATCAGAGTTCTGAACTTTTCCATTGATTCGCATCAATACAATTGGTATTATTCATTCTTGTTTATTAATCATGCTTTATTATTCCTTAATCAGAATTCATGTTTATATCTATTATGCTTTTGGAATTCATTATTGCTTTGATTATGAATATGTGTGAGTAGTCTCCTAGCTAGGGTTTCGGGATGAAACCCGGCCTAGGTAATCTATGTAATTGAGGATTGATTTTGATAAACGGATTGTGATTAAATTGATTATATGCGATTGCATGTTAATTCATTATAATAGGAGTAGCTAACCTAGAATCTTGAATTTGATTGCATGATATCCTTGATTTGAACAAGAGATTGTGAATTGAGTATTTCATTATTGAATGCGGTTTGATTATGTATCGAGTAATGTTAAGTGCATGAGAAATCCAAGCTTAGTATTGCCCGTTGTCTTCCTCTCACATGATATTGATCGAATTTATAGTCTTTGCATATCCCGTTTGTCTTTGTGATTCCTTGTTGCTTAGTTACCAATGGTTAGGCGGATTCCCGTTCTCCCTAGTGTCTTAGTTTATTGATTTATTCCATCCTATTAGTAGTATTTTAGAACACCATTTTCCATTGATTTCGAACTAGCTTAGGTTTAAGATTGATTTGCAATTACTCTCGTTCCTCGTGGACCGAACCTTTATTTGCCATTGTACTTGGTTATAGGGTGTTCGTATAAGTATTGTTTGATTGAGAGTTAGATTGTAGCGACCGATTTAACCCTCGTCAAAATGGCGCCGTTGCCGGGGACAATGTTTGATTCTAGCTTGGGGGGGGGGTCTTACTTGTATTCATTCTAAAAAAAAAAAATAGTTACTGCTTTCCTAAACTAACCTTAAGTTGTTTGCTAGTATGTCTTTACTTTTTGCAGATTGGGAACATTCGAGACGCGACATGAGTTTGAAGAACGATGCTATTGCCGTTAATTGGAGCTCCCGGGAAGCAAATTTGGTGAGATCTTTTCCTTTTTTTTGTGTGCTTAGGATAGTTTAGTTTAGGAAGAAGTTGAATGGTTCGAGGATGTTTGATCGGTTCTAAGGAACCTGGGATCGTTGATGTTGATATCATTCGATCACTTGTTTGTCGATTGGGATTTTATGTGATTTTTATGCCTCGTTATGTGCCTTTCAACTTATTCAGTTGGCTTAGTTGTACATATGTTTGTGTTAGATAGGAAAAGCTTCTGCTATGAGGATGTGTGGTTTAGCTTATATGATATGCCTCGTAGTCTTTTCCTATGTTTTTGGATCATAATAAACTTGTCTAATTGCAAAATTTTGGAATATTGTTCATGTTGGATTCGAAATGTGAATGAATGTGTATGGAATGTCTATTTCCACTTAAGCCAGTGATGAATACACAGTTTGAGTCTATTGTTGATCAATGTGGACGAGTCTAGGCGAAGGGTAGAAATAGAACACTTTTGTCATGTGAAACTCTATGCCTTTGGGCTGTGGTAAGATGGAGTCGCTTCCCGGTTGTGGATTTGACCCCCTTGATTGGTAGTTGCTTTATTTGTTAGATCCCGTCAGGTTTATTTGTTCTAGCCTTCATCATTCTTGTTGAGTGGCATATTTGGATCCTTGATTACGCATTTTTCGATCTTTGTGTTGACTAGCTTAGGTTTAAGATTGATTTGCAATTACTCTCGTTCCTCGTGGACCGAACCTTTATTTTCCATTGTACTTGGTTATAGGGTGTTCGTATAAGTATTGTTTGATTGAGAGTTAGATTGTAGCGACCGATTTAACCCTCGTCAACAGACCTGTTTTGTGTGTTTTTTTTTTTTGTTTTTTTTAAAGAAAATAAATAACCTGTTGGACCTGATTATAGACCTGTTTACATAAAATCTGAAAATATCAATGACAAAAACTACATAAAATCTATAAGTCTCAAATATAACAAATAATTCATTAAATTACATAAAGTCTCTACGTCTCAAATACTAGAAATACATAAATTATCCAAAGACAACTTGAATTTTGGCGAGTTGCTTTCCCTTTGATTGCTTGATTCACACTAATGAGTCAACGAAAACAACTTCATCGTCTCCATCGTTAGATACATCATGTTGCACCTCTAAATAAAAAAACATTATAGAATATATTAATGAATGATAACAATGAAATAATAAATTTGGTGTAACAAAATTACAAGTACATAAAATTAATACTACCTTTCTCCATTTCTTGTAACTCTTTCAAATTTTCTTCCATATCCTCTTACTTTTTCTGTTCCATTCGATTCCCGCCCCGCTTTTAACTTCTTATCTGGAGGCAAAGTAGATTGCAATTCTTCCATATCCTTTTCAGAAAGTGGCTGTGACATTTCTTCAGAAAAAGCAGCAGATCTTTTGGATTGAGAGCTCTCCATCTTCAATATAATTATACACAATCTTCAATATAATTATACACAATATAAGTAATTTTTAAGTAACAATTATAAACACATAACATTTCATAAAAAAATGTGAGAACAAATTACATTGCAAGAGTAAGAATCCGTGGTTCTTGTTGATCCTAAACATATAAAACGATAGAATTCAATTACAATTCAAATTGAATTCACAAAATAAACAGAATACATACAAATATACAATACACCAGCAAGGCAGCAAATTCTACAATATGAACTAAATTCAAAAGAAACAGATTTTAAACAGATTTATCAATCTACTTTAAACAGACTTATCAATCTTTTCTGATTTATCAATCTACTCCCAGCAAATTCACGGAATAAACAGATTTTAAACACACAAATCGAAAGAAACCAAAATTCAACATGCATTCGAAACAAATGAACTTAAATAATTAAAAAACAGTTACTTAAAATAAATAAAAAAACCTCAAAAAAAAAATCATGAATTCGAAAAAAATGAACTAAAAAACATAACTTGCAAACATCAAACAATCATAATAAGCAATTGAAATACAAAATACCCAATTCAAATATAATTAGATTTAATTTTTTTTTTTTAAAAAGAACTTACAGGATACCAAAATTCAACATGCATTCGAAACAAATGAACTAAAATAATTCAAAAACAATTACTTAAAATAAATAAAAAAAACCTCAAAAAGAAAATCATGAATTCGAAAAAAAATTAACTAAAAAACAGAACTTACAAACATGCAAACATCAAACAATCATTATAAGCAATTGAAATACAAAATACCCAATTCAAATATAATTAGATTTAATTAAAAAAAAAAAGAACTTACAGTGAGATGCAGATGCAGGGTGTAGTCGTCGACTCGTCGTTGCAGGATGTACATCGTGTAGTCGCTGCTGGTCTGGACGTTTGGTGGGCGGTGGCGACTTCTGACTTGTGTCTGGGCGCCTGGGCGGTGGTCTGGAGGGAGTGGGTGTTGCCGTGTGTGCTTGTCGGCTGAGAGAGAGAGAGAGAGAGAGTGAGTGAGGAGTGAGTTAGGGTTAGTGTGTTAACAAAAATGAAACTGACTTCTTTTGAAATTTGGGATTTTTTTTTTATTTTTTTTATTTTTTTTTTATATATAAAAAACGCATTTTTAACGGGTTTCAGGTCCAGACCTGAAAACCCCGGGTTTGGACCTAATCCGGACCGGGATCGGAAACCTTGATTTTCAAGGACCGGGACCGGACCTGAATCTACAGGTCCGGGTCAGGTCCGGTCCCAACAGGTCAGGGTCAGGTCGGTTTTCAGGTCCGGTCCTATTCATGTACACCCCTAAGTACAGTAGAACAATAAATAAAGATAGAGGGAGACAAAGTATTTATTAAACCTTGTAGATTCATGATGGTTTTTGATCATTTTTTTTAAAAGTTACCAGGGTTGGCCCGGAGGGGTAGGCCTCGAGTGCGACCGTCTAGGGCCCACGGAAGCCCATAAATTTACAAAAAATCAATTTGCATAGTTGTAGAATTTTAGTTGTAGTTTTTACTCATTAAAAAAAAAAACTTTCTAAATAAAGATAATTATTGCATTTAGTTAACAATCAACATTAAATTACTTGGATGTCAAATAAGTAGTAATAAAATTGCAATATAACCTCTTCACTTATTCTAATCTTCCGGTTTCTATGAGTATCTGCTTTAAAATATTAGTCTTTTCAATTACACCATTTCATATTTATTCAAATATCAAAATATTATGCAAAATTATTACTCCAATATTGTGTATGGAGACTTACTATTCAAATAATATAAGCTATTTTCATTGTCTTATATTTCCTCCGTTCTTTTATTATTGCACCACTTGCCTTTTTAGAAAGTTTCACAAATATTGTACCATTTCCTCTTTAGGAAAAAAATTATTTGTGTTCACACTAATAATACCCAACATACCCTTGTTTTTTCACACTTACTTTTTAGTTTATCAATATATCACATGGACAAATTTGTATTTTTACCTTTCTCTCTCTTACTTTTTTTCCACTACCAAAATATTTATACCCAACCCATATGGTGCAATAATAAAAAAACGGAGGAAGTATTTAAAACTATTGCGTGTAAAAAAAATTGTTTATATAAGGGGCTCTTTTCTTATATTATGCTTAGAGCCCATAGATTTCGGGTTGAAAGTTATACTTGCAAAAGTACAGTAGGTTAATAAACAGAGATAGAGGGACTTTATCTTTCTCAAAACCAATTACTCCGGTATGAATTTTAATATCATTATTAATTTTGATGGACTTCCACATTAATAAATTCATTCACAGACCTGAGTTAAAAAATTCATTCACTAACCTACTAAAATTACGCACAAATAATACTGTATCAGAGATCAAACAACATGGATTCTTTGCCGGAATTGCCACTCATATTTATTTTTAATTTTAATATTTGATTAGTTATATTACCAAGTCTATCAATCTTTTTGTGATTTTCTATTACCAATCTTTTAATATTCAATATCTTTCCTACATTAATAATTTTTCTAAAAATTGAATTTAAATAATATATCCTACATCCCGGTACTTTACCCATTTTTATTCATTCAGAAGAAGAATTGAAGAAAAATAAAGTAACAAACGCCAAATATGCAACTTCACCAAATAAAAATTCAACAATTGCAGAAAAAGAAAATTTTATAGAGAGAAAAAGAACATACTTGTTAATTTTAATTTGGCCAGCATCCTCAGCTAAGCAGAGTCTGTTTGACATAGATACTTGTTGAAAATTGATTAGAGTATAATCCTTGTCTCCTTGAGCGTTTCCATGATCGAATCAAGAGACGATTCCCCGGGCAAAAAAATATACTCATCCACATCAAAAAAGAACATCCATTTCGTATCGAATTGATGTCTATGTAAGCAATCATTTAGTATAAGCATTTGGTTATGATAAAACCCATCGAATTCCTCTTGATATTTGATATCGTGTATTGTAACAAACCCAAGATCAATCCATGGCAAAAGTACACCCATTACTTCAGGGTGTATACCACCTGCATCGTTGAACACAAAATGAGATTTCGTTCCGAACAGTCTGATGTGATACGCAATCCACTCGCGGACTCTCTGAGGGCTGAGGTTACCGAACAATGAGCTACCGCAGTAGAAGTAGTCGTATTTAGGAGGGGCGAGAAATTGTGATGGATGCCACGAATTTGGGGGTTCGTTTAAGGCTATGATCGTGTCAATTGAGTTAATATCCCGATCGTAGCCGCCGTTAGTGGAGGCGTGGAGGAGGAGACGGCCACCCGTAGAAGAGTCCGTACCTGTAGGGAATGTACAATTGACAACTACTACGACATAGGCACGGGCGAACCCGAAGTCCTGGAAAGAAAGTTTTTGCCCTGAGACTGCAAAATGTGAACCGTTGTTGGACTGGTACTCGCAGTTGTAGGTGGGATGACCGTAGTCGTGGAGGGGTTTGGAGGAGAGCCCGATGACGGCGAAGGTGTTGGGACCTCCGCGGTAGGCGGACATAAAGACGAAATTGTACGCGGCGGTCCCCACAACGTAGAAGGAGCGTTTTAAGACTCCGTTGTCAAGGATCTGATCGGAGGGTTGTTGAGGAGGTGGTGGGGTGGTGGTGGTGGTGGGGCAGGAGGTGACATCGGAGGTAGAAAAGGGGAGAAAGCGGGTGGGTAGGAATTGAAAGAGGGTGGCAACGGAGCAGAAAAGGAGGAGAGCAATAAAGATGAGCTTGAGCTCAGATGAGTAGTTGTTCCTCCACATTAAACCAAATATGCTGCTGCCTTTTCTCTCTCCTGTTTTTCTGAATTTGTCTCTCTGAATCTTTCCCATTTCATTTTGGGGGAGACGTTGACTAACAAGAATTGGGAAGGAAGTGGAGTGATTATAATATTTTGTTGTCTTTTTCGGTTGGATTATTTTGAATAATATAACCTACCCCCTTAATTAATTAATGTTCATGGTTAATTTAAGTACTACCTCCGTTAAATATTATGCGTAACTTTGGGGTATTATTTGTGTTAACTTAGATGAAACACACAAGAGGGGGGGTGAATAGTGTAGGAACTAGTGTTCCCAAATTTTGCGGAAATTAAAAACGTAGAACGAAATAAAGAGATGCAAAGAGATTTTTACGTGGAAACTCCTTGTGCCCAACAAGGAGAAAACCACGACCACTTGGGATTTTCAAACATGACTTCACTAAATAGGGCAACTACTCCGTTACAACCTATAAGGAACTCGACAAAACTTAAGTTCCAATTAGAACCTAAGCCAACCCCAAATGCTGACATTAGCTTCTACTCCGAAGCCTACACTCAAAACTTAACTCTAAGTCTTTACAAGGATCACTCAACCCTTTCCCAAATTACAATTCAGTAATTTGAACTCTACGTGTTTAGATATCTTACAATAGTTGGAACATAGGAATACTCTCACTGACAAATATATTTTACTCAAATGTTGTACGATTGTCAGGATTGCCTTAAAACTGAAACTCAACTCCTTTTTTATACTGTTTCATCAACCCAACCACCTTCCCCACATTCTCCACTACTTGAGGTGGTGTTCCTAAACTTTAGGAACTAACTCAAGCAATGTAGAGAAGTTAGGAAAGTCGTTCAATATAGAACGTGGGATGAGGTTTGAATAAATCTTTTCCTATGAGAGTAATTTAAGGAATCAGTTAAAATCTTTTTACAGAAAATATTTATTTTGTTAAAATATCAAAAAAATATCTTTTTATAATATTTTAACAAAAACCAAAAATAAGATAAAAACCAATTTTATAAAACTGATCGATCGTTTCATTTTTAATTCCAATTAACTCTCGTATTCCTTGTGTTCCAACCAATCATAAAATATCAAACACTTACATAAAGCCTAAAAATAATAACTCATACTTTTTAGTCTTCATGTAATACTCGTTGCTCTTATGATATTCTAATTGGACCTTTGATAACTCTATCTTTCCAAATAGAACATCCAAGCATAAAACCTTCTTTGCTTTCTTCACTTCAAATTGTTGTGTATGCCATATTAGATTAAGGACTTCTATAATTTTCCAACAAATAATCCATCACAAATAAATCATGCTTCATATTTCAATCACCGATAACAACCAATACATAATTTCCATTCCAAATCTAGCATGATACTACTTGTAATCAATTAAACACATTTAGCATGCTACTACATCAATAAAATTATGCTAAGTACGCGAACGTACCTTGTATACGATCTTAAAATCGCCACGACTAATAGAAATCGCTTACTTCAAAGACTGCTACAATGTAAAATCATAGAAGAGTATTAAAATCCTCTTTACACAAATTTCCAGAAATATATACTATTATAACCCCTCATAATTTAATTAAAATAAGCTAAAATTATATTTAAAACATCATACTTTAATCCCACTTAATGGGTAATTAAAATTTCTTAAAGAAACTTGATTTTTAATTCTCTACGCATCCCAAAACGGGTGATGATATTCTTCCAAATAAAGGAAATGACATCCTTCGTCTTGATGTTTTTGACCGCCTCCACCTCTACCCACTTGGTAAAGTAGTCCACAGCCAATAAGATATAGTGCTTGCCGCCTGGAGCAGCCGTATATGAACCCAGGATGTCCATGCCCCATTTAGAAAACGGTACAGGGCTGTGGATTGACGTCAGGTCGGTGGCCGGACGATGGATTAGCTTGCCAAATTTTTGACACTTGTTGCATTTTTTTACCATCTCCATAGCATCCGCCTCAAGGGTAGGCCAAAAGTAATGCCGCCTTGCCCTGACAGCTAAGGATCTACCACCTACATAAGAGGCACAGTATTCTGCATACAATTCTTCAAGAACTTCTTGTCCCTTTTCTAGGGTCACACACTTCAAAAGAGGTTTCAAGAAACCTGCTTTGAAGAGCTCTCCTTGCCTCATTTCAAAGTTTGCTGCCCGTTTTTCAGCACGACCGCCTCTTGAGGAGAATCTAGGAGGGTGCCGTCTATATGATATGCCCGGATGCTATACATCATGGTAGAGCTTCGGTCCAGTACTCCAATGGGGTCTTCATCAGATATAATTCTTTTTTCCATGACTTCCCAAAAGACTGACCGTAGCGTTTCACAAGAGGCGAATGACGCCAATTTGATAGAGCATCCGCCTTATTGTTTGCTGATCTAGGCACTTGACTTAGATTGATGTCTTCAAGTGTCCCATCTTCATCTTTGATCGCCTATAATTATTTGGTCATAACTGGATGTGTGGCCTCATAGACACCATTGTACTGGCTAATGAGTAACGACCAATTGGGATTCCGAGCAAGCGTCAATTTTTGTGGCCCCTACCGCCTTGCACATCCGGATACCAGCTAGCAGGGCTTCATACTCGGCCTCATTGTTTGAGGCCTAGAACTTAAACCGTAGTGCATATTCATATATGTCCCCCTTAGGAGACTGACAAATTACGCCTGCACCACAGTCGTTCCTCGTGGAACTCCCATCCACATACACTTTCCAAACCTGATTGATACTGTCCGGCTCAGTCGGCCTTGTCATTTTAACAATAAAGTCGGCGAATGCTTTCCCCTTTATTGCCTTCCCTAGTTAGAAAGTGATTTCCAGTTCCTGCAACTCAATAGCCTATTTAAGCATTCGACCAGAAGATTCCAGGGTCGTCATTGCCCGCTTGATCGGTTGGTCAGTGTAGACCGTGACCGGATATGCTAAGAAGTAAGGTTTTAACTTCTTGAAAACCATGTAAAGGGCGACACCAAATTTTTCGACCATGAGGTACCGAAGATTCGCGTTTCTAAGAATATGGCTAATGAAGTAGAATGGGAGCTGGATGCCATCTAATTCAGCTAAGAGAACGGCATTGAGGGCATGATATTAGACAACCAGATACATATAGAGCGTCTCTTTGGGTAAGGGCTGACCACCCTTGGCAAAGATTGTGGATGTGTTTTAAGCTTTTGGAAGGCCACCTCAGCATCATCCCCCCATTTAAATCTAGTCTTTTTCCTGATCTCCTTTAAGAAGTAGAGGCACTTATTGCCTAACCGATTAAAAAATCTTCCTAGAGCTGCTAGATAACCAATTAATTTTTGGACTTCCTTCCCAGTACGGGGCGACTGCATGTTCATTACTACATGTATTTTTTTAGGGTTGGCCTTTATCCCCCTTAGGTCAATCAGGAATCCGAGAAACTTCTTAGACTCAACACCAAAGACACACTATTTTGGATTAAGCATGATCTTATGCCACCTAAGTGTGGCGAATGTTTCTCGAATGTCAGCAAGGTGATCCGCCTGCTGTTTTGATTTGACTATCACGTCATCAATGTACGCCTCTACATTCCTCCCAATTTGATTAATGAAGACTGTATTAAACATGCGTTGGAAAGTAGCAGGCGCATTCTTCAAACCAAACGTCATCACATTATAACAGAATAACCCTTTATCGCTGACGAATGCCGTCTTATCTTGGTCTTTTTTCCACAAGGGAATCTGGTGGAAGCCAGAATAAGGTATCCATGAAGCTCATCAGGGCATGTCCGACTGTAGTGTCGACTACACTATCAATCTTTGGAAGTGGATAGCTATCATTTGGACATGCTCTATGTAAGTCAGTGTAATCCACATACATGCGCCAGGTACCATTCGGCTTCTTTACAAGCACAATATTTGCAACCCAATCAGGGAAGTTACATGGCCGAATGAACCCGTCGTCTAATAGCTTTTTCACTTTGGTGGCTGCCGCCTGACTTCTCTCTTTTCCATGGTTTCTTTTCTTTTGCTTAATGGGATTATTTTTAGGGTCCACAACGAGTTTATGGACAATAAGATCCGGGCTGATGCCTGGCATCTCTTCCACTTCAAAGGCAAAGATGTCTTTGAATTCTTTCAGGATCTAGTGCAGACATGCACCTAACTTAGCAAAAGCAGCCGTCCTCACCTTAAAATTTCGCTCTGGCCGACCGTCCTCCAGAGGAATATCAATGTTTTTACAAGCCGGCTGGGGACGAAGGTCATTTGACCACTCCCTGGTTAGTGATTGCTATTGCTTTTCTTTTTTGACCACCACCAACGGATCATACTTTCTTTTCTTGGCGGCTATTAGGGTCGGATGATCATCCTAGAGATCATAAAGGTCTATTGACTCTTTGCCCTGACCGGCTGCAGTTGCCGCAGGTGTGAGGTCTGAGAGATAGCATTCACGAGCCGTCTTTTGGTCCCAGTTCAGGGAGCCAAAAATTCCATCATCCTTCTCATACTTTACAAGCATGAGATTAGGAATGATGACAGCCTTGCACTCGTTAAGAGTGGGTTGACCAAGGATGAGATTGTAGGCAATCAACTCTTCGACCACTAGGAATCGGATGGTCATTACCGACTGCTACCTTTTTTCCCCAATCGGATGGGCAAATCAATGCGTCTGACTAGATGCACAACTCCTCCCCCAAAACCCACAAGGGGATGGGAGACATCCATCATGCAATCCGGTTTATATTTGAGATTGGATAGACATTTGCGGCTGATGATGTCTGAGGAGCTTCCCGTGTCAATCAAAATGCGACTAACCAATTGGTTGGCCACTTTACATTCTATGACCACAGGGTCATCATGCGGCCGACGGACTATGCCTCTTCTTTACGGTGATGATGACTTCGGGGAAGGCGGATGTGTTGGCCGCCTGTCCCTCATCAACATAATTGACCATCTTTCTCAAATGGTTCTTGTTACCCCGGATGATTGATCCTTCTCCGGCGAATGCGCCTGTTATCGTATAGATCGGATCCTCATCCGTTTCAGAGCTGATAGAAGGCTGGGGAGTCTTTTTTCTTGATTGCCCCGGATTCAATTTTTAAGTGATTTTGGACTTCACATAGGATTTCAGCGCT